CCATGTTGCCCAGGCTGGTCTTGAACTCCTGCGCTAAAGCAATCCATTCGCCTCTGCCTCCCAAAGTGCTGGGACTACAGGCACGAGCCACACACCCGGCCTCTGCTAATTTTTTGACATATTTTTGTAGAGCCGGGCACGGTGGCTCACGCCTGTAATTCCAGCACTTTGGGAGGCTGTGGCGGGTGGATCACGAGGTCAAGAGATTGAGTCCATCCTGGCCAACATGGTGCAATACCCCATCTCTACTGAAAATACAAAAATTAGTTGGGCATGGTGGCATGCACCTGTAGTAAAAAATTTTCTTTTAGAGATGGGGTCCCACTGTGTTGCCCAGGCCAGCAGAAATCCTCCTTTTAGGGTAAGCTAAAGTTGCAGACCTAGTGGGACATGGAGGCAGGGATTGAGGTGAGACAGAAACTTACTCGCATGCAGTATATGTAGGCCTCACCTCCCGGCTACTCAGAGGCACTGGAGCCCAACTCCATCTGTCTGATGCCATCTGCTCTCCCCACTCTGCTGCCCCCAGTGCATACCCCAGGACATACCTACTGACAGAAATCTTTTATGCCCAGGGGCATTTTAAAAAGCCCAGGAGAATGGCCGGGCACAGTGGTTTATGCCTGTAATCCCAGCACTTTGGCAGGCTGAGGAGGGTGGATCACCTGAGGCCAGGCATTCAAGACCAGCCTGGCCAACATAGTGAAAACCCGTCTCTACTAAAAATACAAAAATTAGCCAGGCGTGGTGGCAGTTGCCTGTAGTCTCAGCTACTCGGGAGACTGAGGCAGGAGAATTGCTTGAACCTGAGAGGCGGAGGTCGCAGTGAGCTGAGATTGCACCACTGTACTCCAGCCTGGGTGACACAGCAAGTGAGACTCCATCTCAGAAAAAACAAAACAAAACAAAAAAACCAACCCAGGAGAAGGAGCCGGCAAGAGGGGTGAGGGCTGAAGCCAGTGCACACTAAGGTCAAGCGAGGTCAGCAAGGCCCACAGGCTCTAGTGGATTTCCCTGAGGAAGCAGGACTTGCCAGGCTACAAGCAAGGGTCAGATGCACACAGACCACCTCAGGGCACATGTCAGGGGGCTGGGCCTGCCTCCCTGGCTTCTCTTGGGACTGACTTTCTTGCTTTTCCAGCTCTCGAAAGCAAGGTAAAGAGAGAGGCACAATGGCAAGGTGATACCCGCACATCAGGGAAACTAATCATTGAGCTGTAGACCACCTTTACTTTCTGCCTTTTCCCAGACAAATGTCAGGAGGGATGAGGTCAGAGTACTCAGGGAGGGAGAAGCCAGGGCCGAGGATGATGCTGGAAATGCAGGAAGAGGCAGGCTTCAGTAGAGAAGGGTGGGGAGAGGCAGGAGCAGGAATTTTGGCTGGAGAAGCAGGCAGGCTTGGGCCAGGGAGGAGGGAAGACACGACCTGACACGCGGGACCGTGCCAGAGACTCCTCTCTGAGGAAGAATGTGGCCCCTGGGGCAGAAGGAGGCCTCCCCACTCACCCTGGGGACTTTGTATTGTCTCTAAACCTCCAGGACGAGGATTTATCCTCGTGTTCCATTTAGTGTTCCATCTCATCCCTGCCCCTCAGGTCCAGGATAAGCAGAAGAAAAGGATTCATTTGTGCCCCCAAAACAGCTCTGGGACAGAGCTTTTCACAAAGGCTTTAGACCGAGCCAAGCTTCTGCTGGAGGCTCAGCACCACAGCTGGGGTCTGTCTGGAGGGCCTGGATACAGAGATACTAAGTCTTCACGATGAAGCCTGTCTGTGGGGAAAGGGTGCATCCTCCCAGCGCTGCCTGAAATCAGAAGCAGAGGAAGTAGGCTTCGCCAATTCAGCGAATGCGTTAGAGCACGTACTAAAGAGGGACTTCCTGTGTTGGGGCTGAGACACTGATGGGCCACGAGACTCTAAAATGAGCGTGGGCCTATTCCAGAGCTGATCCTCAGGGGCAAGGGGGATGGGGAGATGTAAGAACCTTCTTTTCAGACCTCTGACCCTAGGAACTGAAGTCGGGGGACCCAGGATGTGAATTATTTGAAAGAGGAGGCAGGCCAGGTGCGGTGGCCCACGCCTGTAATCCCAGCACTTTGGGTGGCCGAGGCAGGCAGATCACAAGGTCAGGAGTTTGAGACCAGTCTGACCAACATAGTGAAACCCCGTCTCTACTAAAAATACAAAAAATTAGCTGGGTGTGGTGGTGCACGCCTGTAATCCCAGCTACTCGCGGGGGTTGAGGCAGGAGAATGGCGTGAATCCAGGAGGCAGAGGTTGCAGTGAGCTGAGATCGCGCCACTGCTCTCCAGCTCAGGTGACAGTGCGAGACTCCGTCTCAAAAAAAAAAAAAAAAAAATCCAGAAAGAAAGAAAGAGGAGGCAAAGACAGAGCAAGGCATGTGGTGCTTGTGGGGAGGTGGGCAACACAGGAAGAGCATGGGGGAGGAACTGGGCAGAGAGGAGGCATTCCCCTCCCCCTGCCCTTCTCATTGTTCCCAACCCCCGGTCCGTTCTCTTCAGCCCCCCTCAACATCGTTCGCCAGAGAGGCTGGATACCGGGACAGGGTGTGTGGAGGAGAGTGAGGGAATGATCATGACTGCACCTCCTGCTCACTTTTACACTCGTGTTCTCACTTCCTGCCTCTGGCAGAAAACAGCCCTGCCCCTCTGGCTTATCTCAGCAAAGAGCAGTGCCCAGCCCAGCTCAGAGGGCAATGGGACAGATCCCAGAAGCCCTGAGGAGGTAAGGAACCTGCGCCCCGGGTATGTATGTGGGAAGCTGAAGGACAGAGACACGGAGAAGGAAGGTGGCTGCACACCCTTTGGTGTGAGCGGTGTTGGGTTGGGTGATATAGAAGGAGCAGTCTCGGGGCCTCTGTATCGCGGTCTCTTTGCTCCTCAGTGCCTTGGGGTTGAGATCGCCGTGCTTGTGAACTGCCTGGTTCTATGTCTGTGTAAGGATACTGTCCCTAAGGCAGGGCCTTCTTTCTCTTCCTCCCCAGCCCAGGTGTCTGTGCACATACATGTATATTACAGGATGTGTATGGACACTGATTTCTATGTTACTAGGGATCTTGTGTGCACATCTCTTAGCGTCTGTGTATGTCTGTGTCTGTGCACACACATGTGTAATGAGTGGTATACTTACCTGACATCAGTAAGGAGAGATTTATCCTCCTACGGGGGCCTCCATGTCCCTCCTTCCTGGTGTTCCTTCTTTTCTGGGGCAGTTGCCATTTCTTTGATTCCTGCGTCTCTCCCACAGCCTGACCTCTTCTTCAAGGCAGGATTAGGGGAGAGGGTCTGTGCTGCCCCTCCCCCACACCTAGATTCCCTCCTTCCACTTCCTGTTAGCCTCCTTTTTGGCAGTCTTTTCCATCTTCGCCATCTGGCCTGGCACTGTGCCTATTCAGCTCCTGAAGGGAGCCGCAGGGCTTGCGAAGCAGGAGTGTGGGATGGGGACCAGGCCAGGGGCCTGGCAGCTCTCAGTGCTCAGCTTGGGCCATTCTGTGTGACTGTCAGAAAGAGGTGGCTTTTGACAACCAGGCTCCTTTATAAAGAAACCCAAGATGGGCTGGGGCCAGGTGCGGTG